TGAGCAGCAAAAGCCTTCTTCATTTAGTACACCTATCTTTGGCTTTTCATTTGCAGAGTCCAAGGCAGCACGCAGGACCCTTCTCCATTTTGTTTGGACCCTTTTGTTTGGCATGCTACACATGTGTGGTTGCTTGCAAAATTGCAGTTCCTGTTTAAAATGACGTTGCCAGCAGATGGTTTGTGTCTTTGGCTTTTTAGAAAACATAAAAGATTAACTCAGGGGCCAGTCTGGACCTCAACACTGTCTCTGATTTGGCCCTCACACTATTTGTCCATCAGGACTAGAAGTTCCTTCTGGCAGGGAGATGCTTAGGCAATGGTCTTTTCTATCACTTGATAATTGTAACTGAGGACAGCAGAGATTGGACCTGAATACAGAAAAGCATCTGCTAATAAGTTTAGATGAGAATCCTTTATATTCATCTAGAACATGACTTTCCATCAGTACATTCTCTCCTGTATGGGTGTTTTGTTTTTAAGAAATACAAAACTTGCAGTCATGCATCAGGAACCACATACATGCTTGGCTCCACTGGAAAAGAACAGGTCCCAGTCAAAGTCTCTAGAGAAAATACGGAGCAAGCCGCTTAGGAGAGGGCCTTGCAGGGGGAGCAGATGATTGATGGACAAAAGTGCTGCTGCACTGCCCACCTCCGACAGCATCCGTGCGGGCAGACACATGGATGGACAACTGTCAATAAGAGAAGCCACAGGAGAGCCTTCCCCAACCTGGTTCTCCCCGGATGTATTGAACAACTCCTATCATCCCCAGCAAACACACTGGGTGGGGATAGTAGGTATTGTAAACTAATGCATCAAGAAAGTAGCAGGTTGGCAAGGCTGCCATAGGTTATGAGGTCCAAAGCAGAGCTTTATTCATATAAAGACTGTTCTTTTACGCCAGCTACTTTGGGTATGTCTTCTCTTTCCAATCCAAGCTCTACTTTACCCTGCATTGCCCCATAAAATTCATAACTTGTGGCTTCCCTTGCTGGTTCTACTTCTTGTGTATCTGTCTGGAAAAACTGGCAGATACACAAAGTAGTATCTGCATCAAAGTAGGTGTTTGGATTTCCCAACTGTACCTAACTACTGGGAAACTTTAGCTTACTTTATTAGTAGGTAGATATAAGTTCATTTATATTCACTTTACAAAGCGAATTCCATTTGACTTTGATGGGTATGTGAGAGGTACGTTTAAACATGGAGTCACTGACAGATTGTGTGTATGCTGCATTTCTGTTAGCGACCATCTGACCTTGGTAAAGAAATAAAAACATACCAGACCAACAAAGAAATGTTTGATACATGTTTATGCCTGTCAATGCATTAAAATTCAGAGGAAAAAATAAATATTTAAGGTGGTAAATTATGTCTGCCAAATGTCTGAACAGCTGCCTTTGAATATAAGGATACAGATAGAATATGGGTGTATGTATTCCAAAGTGTATTGAAGTCTTCCATATTTAACCATACCGAAGAATTGCAGGAATGATTGGTGGCTCAATGTGATATAATGGGTAGGTCTGACATCCAGTGAGAAGTGGATGAGAATACTGAACTGAGGATACTGTGAGGAAATCAAATAACAGTTCAAAAGTTCATTCCTACACAGGGGAAAGGAGAAACTTGTTTAGTTTCTTCTCTAACTAATGTCAACCTTTTCACCACTCTGTAAAGGCTACAGAGCATCAAAGAAGTCACATTTAGTTAAACTTTACCTATTTACCACTTTGGGGAGGTAAACTGGGTTATTTATTTATTTTTTGCTACTGTAGCAAATTTTGGCAGCATAGTGGGGTCTGCTGGACCAAAAAGTCAAAAAAATGGGAACTGGGAGCATATTGAGGAATTCTGGCAAGAAGAAAGGGCCAGGGTCCTGTGGCACCAAGGACCTGCCGTGGCTTTGGGATCGGGCTGTGACGCAGCGATGAAGAGCTCAGATGGGGGATGGAATGCCTCCCAGCAGCAGCAGCAGCTTGTAGGGACGTGGCTGGCATGAGGCGGAAATGCAAGCACAGTGGGCGCTTTGGAATGGGGCTGGAAAGAGTGATGGTGGAGGCACCTCCATTGAGTTTGAGCAAGGAGGTGGGTTGGATATTAGAGTAACTGGGACGAGTATCACTGGACATGGGACAAGCCTTATCAGGCACTCGGCAGGTTAACGATCGTTCATCTTGAGACGAATAGGAGAAAACCAAAAAAAAAATGGGCTGGCATGAACAACTCAGATGAGGTAGGAAGCCATTAAAATGAATTTAAAAGAAAAGAACGATGGAAGGAGGAGGCGTGTATGATATCCTGCTGTCCTAATCGGTAGCGTGGGCACTGATATTTCACATCTGATTTACAGGTCTGCTCGCTGAGCTATCTATTTAAAACTTCATACTGTAGCAACTGCTACTTCACACAGTGGCTCCATAATCTTTGCAGAACTGTAGCAAAGCCTTCTTAAACAGGCCTACACGGATTGCTCGAGATGCATCAAGGCTGATTCTTTGTGCAACTGAATTGCTGCTTGTTAACAACCAGAATGGGTCATGGCTTGGCGAGAAGAATGTTGGTGACAAAGCAAGTAAAATGGGGGTTGTCCAGGAGCAACTGAGACCAGCAGGTGCCTTTTGTCTGTGTTATACCCGATGGGAAATGAAACTGATACAACTGACAAATGGCAAACGAAAAACCTACAGAACCAAACTTTGCAACAAAGGTGCAACTAATTAAGCTCAATCCTTGCCTTGGTGTGTAGAGAATTTCTAGCATTTATTACAACTAACATTTATTATTATTATTATTATTATTATTATTATTATTATTATTATTATTATTGGAACTTATTATGAGAGGTGCTGGTAGATTATATTTGTCAGGAGATTTGTGATTCAGACATGGAGCACTGAGAATCAGGTGCTGGCTCTAACCAGGCCACTGCTAAAGTTCAGAAGTCATTGTCAGGCAATCATAAGCAACCAACCACCCCCAATTTTCTCCCAGGGACTGTTGGTATTTTTTTTTAAATCCTGAGCATCTTATTACAAAAGGAAGCCACTTGTCTGATCCACTGCATCTGGCAGAATATTATCCAGTCTGCCTACCTATTCTTTGGCATGTTATGCCCCACCTCACCTTCTAAACATGGACTGCTATTTTTGTCTTGGCATAAGCCTGGTCACAAACAATCGATCTCATTAGCCTAGAAGAAAGTGAACAAGGGGGTACTTGATAAAGGTGTATAAAATTATGCATGGCATGGGGAAAGTGGAAAGGGAGGCATTTTTCTCCCTCTCTTATAATACTGGGACCCAGGGAGGCAGTATTAAGAAGCAAAGTGGTGGACGATTCAGGATAGATAAAAGTAATTCTTTGTATAGCATATAGTTAAGCAATGGAATTCACTACAGCAAGAGGTAGTGACACCTACCAATCTGGACAGGTAAATTCATGGTGGATAAAGGGACTCAATAAGCTTCTAGTCTGGATGGGTGCATATTATGTCTGGTATCGAAGGCAATATGCCTCTCAGTACCAGTTGCTGGGGAACAAGAGCAGTAGGGTTCCAGGGAGCTTCTGGGCTTTGCTCATGTGCTTACAGCTTGCAATAGATTTCATCTGCCATGGTGGCTGGAGTCTGATCATGCCAAACCTTATGGACAGATCACTTCAAAATACAGATTTTGCCTCTGTGGGGCTCCCATATTTTTCTGTTCTATGTTTGGAAAGTGATATTAAAAAGGTCTCTCTCCTTAGTTCCTGAGCTCTCTTTGGCTTATACATCTGGCATAAGTCATGAATCATACCGGCATGACATTTGGATGAAAAAATTATTGGGCTTCAGCAGATTAGGTATGATGCTCTTTCTTAAAAAGTGCTGTGAAAAAACTGCACAAATTGAGATGCTGGAAAGTACATCCTGTAGTTCTAGGAACTAAGGGTAATTTCAGGCCAGGATAATGGAAATTCATCTAAGTTCTTGCTTTGACTATAATTGTTTCCTGGGATAAATAACAAGAAACGACTTCTGAAAGAGCAAATGATATATCAAACAAACAAAAAGAAAATGAAGACAAAAGGACCCAATCCAATACTCACTGTAATCAAAGCCTGATCTTGCCTTGCCTTCAGTGGGCTCTGGATTGGACCTTACTTTATAAGTATCAGAATGAGGTAAATATTTTAACAAAACAAAAATTGTAAGCCATCTGAAGTTGATTCTGAACATGAGAAATTGCATTGCTGAAAATGAGACAGGAGAATCCAAGTCCTATGTCTGGACTGGTCATAAACAGAGATGAAAATGTTGAACATTGTTGAAAGCCTTCTGAGCATAAACAGATTGTGATGGTGCATTTCATCTAGCCCAATTCAGCATGTCTTTCTACTTTACATTACATGTAGACATCTTTAAGTTGCGACAATATCTCGAGAAGTAAAACAAATTAGACCAGCAGATGATAAAACTGGACCAGTTTGGAACCTTTGAGTCATTAAGGACCTGGAAGTATTATAAACGTAGATCTTGGACAAATAAATTCAGGCAAGGCAGCATTTCATTTAAGAATAAATGGGTTGAACAATTTAGTTTCCCTTAGTCAGAGGCTTTAAGTCCTTTTGTTTCTCAAAGGATTTTCTTTGTCTGCTGGTCAAAATAATAGTCTGCTTGCAATTGGGTTGTTGTGTGTAAGTATTACAATTGTAGACAAATACATATCTCGTTCCAGGGTGGAGTTAATGACTCAATGTAAAACATTGTCATGCATAAATAGGCTTTAGAAGTACCTTGTATACATCACAGTTCTTGCCAACAGTCACTTCTAAGTGACTGAGGTTCTGAGAATCCATATTCATTATGGAGATTTGTTAGACGGGGTGACCCTGCATTTTCATCTGCATAGTCTATATATAGAAGACTAAATCCAAAACTGTTAGAATGTTTCTGAACCTAGCAGAATATGAGATGCACATTTGCTTATTAAATGTAAAAAAATGCATGAATTTTACCTCTTGGCCCATTTCCATACTGCAAAGTTTTGTTGATTGAGCTTTGGCATCAACCATAACATTAAACATGGTGCATATTGATTGAGGAACTCTGAAATCTGTTGACCGGCTGGTTTTTTGCAGCTTTACTTCAAACGCAATTCTGGTTCTATTAAATATAAGAAGAAAGGGATATTTTGGTTTTAAGAACCTGCAATGAATAATTACTGTGATCAATGCAACATTCAGAAGATTGCAGTGCAGTGCTATTCTGCGTTCTGGGATGAATGCCATAAAACCAAATGGGTAGACTGAGAGAATGGTATTAATAGAGTAGGGAAGCAAGCTTCCTAGCTGCATAGAACTTCAAGGAGGAAATATGAATTTTGCCTGAAGAAAAATTCAGTGGCACTAAGAAACTTGCCAGTTATTATCAGCATTAGTTGGTATGGTGAAATGATTACCTGGATCCTTTCTCTCTGGCTTTCTGATCAATAGGACAACTGTTCTTGTAATATAATACCCAAACAGTGTGATGTTAACTAAATAGTGTGATTATATTATCAAGGCAAGTGATAAAAATGTGCACCTATCATATGACTAGTATTAACTAATGTATCGCTGAAGTACATGAGGGACTAAACAGAAAACTCACAGCATTATAAGAAACCGTATGGGTGCTCAGTGCTTAGCACAAATTAAAGAAACCCGTGAATTGCTTGACTCTACAGAATTATTGCATTTATATTTTGTCATAGCGTGACTTGTTTGCCTGTATGCTTCACAAGCCACTAAAAGTTTTTTCTTTGACAAATAAATATATAACACCTCCTCAGGTTCCATTGTAAAGCAAGTAGTTAAAATGAGTGTAGAATCCTGCTTGCAAATGCTGCCGTTTCCAGCAGTCCTATTGAAGTTGATTTCTACTGTAGACATAATGAGGACAGGAGGCAGAACTCTGGCTTTCCATGGGAGAGAGGAGCCCAAGACTAGTCAGATCTCACCTGGAATACTGTGTCCAGTTCTGGGCACCAAGATTTAAGAAAAATGCAGGAAAAAATAGAAAGGGTCCAGAGGAGGGCAACAAAAATTATCCAGGGTTTGGAAACACTGTCCTGTAAGGAGAGAATGAGAGAACTGGGCATGTTCAGCCTTGAGAAGAGAAGACTGAGGGGGGACATGGTATCCCTCTATAAGTACCTCAAAGGCTGTCACAGAAAGGAAGGTTAAGATCTCTTCTTGCTGATACCAGAGTGCAGGTCATGGAATAATCGACTCAAGCAGTGACAATCCAGATTCAGGCTGGACATCAGGAAAAGCTTCCTCACTGTCAGAGCAGTACAACAGTGGAACCAGCTGCCTAGAGAGGCGGTGGGCTCTCCCACACTAGAGACATTCAACAAGAAACTGGACAGCCATCTGAGTGGGATGGTGTAAAGTGGTGTCCTGCAACAGCAGGGGGTTGGACCCAATGGCCTTCTTGGCCCCTTCCAACTCTACTATTGGAAGAGTCTATGAGACTTTCCCTTTTCTTACGCAGGAGGAGGAGGAGGAGGAGGAGGAAAATGAAGGATGCCACAGTGATTGGTGCCGGTGCCAGTCCCAGTGGAATTTTGCATACTCAGGTAAGAGCACTTGCTGATGTTGGGTCAGTGTGCTACTGCATCCATCATGGGCTGCTTCTGGGTAGCCATTTGTGCCCTGTAGTCCAATCTTAGTGGCACCACTGGAAGTAGTAACAGCACAAAATCGTATGTGATTAGTGCACTAGAAGTTTTGAGGAAGCAGGCAGAACATAAGAAACAGCACCATCTGTGATGGAAGTACCCTTGCGTTTCTCCTCATATGTAGGTCTGCCCTGAAAGCAGTTCTTGCCTGAATTATGTTAGGCAAGTTGTCTTTCAGAGAAGCCTGTCTACAGTTACTGATTTTCTTACTGTGGAAGAAGTCTTGCAAAATTCCAGGGACTCAGTCTTCTCCAGAACTCTATGGACAAAGAACAACTGAGACTTTGGCTCATCTAAAGTCAGATTCTTCCAGGCTTAAAGGGGACCTGACTGAAGAAAAACTCTGTCATCTGGCTCTGTCGAGCAGGTCAAATTCACACCTCTATGCTACTGAGTGCCCTTTCCATGTGGTTTATTCTTACCTCTTCACACAGGACTCGATCATATCACTAGCCATAAGTTTTAGGCGCTGTTCTAAGTGCTTCCCAAATTCTTCCTCAGGCCAATGAAGATCCCTGATGAAGGTCTGTAAGGCATCTAGTTTCCAAAACAGATCTTCTGATGTTCCTGATCCATTGCTGCCAGGGCAAAATCAAAGACATAAATGGCAAGAGAGGTTACAGCTTGCTCCCTGGCTTTGGAAACCTGATGTGGAGATTTTTCTTGTACACGTAATGGGGGCATAACAGTGACTGGAAACACAGAACAATGCCAGGAGAATCTCCATCATCAGGGTTTAGGATTTTACACCACACACTTTGTTCTAGTCTACCTAGCACTTACAAGTCTTTCCAGATGACACAAGGAAGACAGGTAAAATAAGAAGATATAGACATTTTTCTGGAAACAGTGCATACAGAGGAAAAACCAGCCTTTTTCAATAACCACACTTTTATGTAGTTATTGAATCATAAGCTCTACAAGGCGAAAGGAAATATCTAGTTGACAATAACCACAGTACATAGATGTATGTGGTTATTTCTAGGTTTCATGCATGTTCTTTCCCAAATTAGAAGATCTGTTTTCTCTCCTTTCTATGATACCTTCCCCTCTCAGAAGGGTTTCAAGGGAAAAAACCCGGTGCTAACAAGTGGTGAGCGAGGACACATTTTTTGAACAGCTGATGATTCGCAACAGGACATCCCTTTATGTATCTCAAAAAGGCTGACCACTGTACCTCTTTTTAATTTGGATATTTTTTTGGTGGGATGTGGTACGGAGAGAAAGAGAGATCGATATGTCTGACCAGGCTTCTGCAAGATCTTTCTTTTTTCCAATGTCTTTACAAATCAGATTTCGAAAAGTGCAGGCTTTCATACCCAGGTCTTCTCTACCCAGTTGGAAATAGTTTTCTTGCTGGTGATTAGACTTCAGTGCAGCTGTAATTATGCCTAAGGGTTCTACTCACAGGATGAAATGCAAGCTTTGGACTATGCTTTATGCTTAGAAATTTATGCATCTATGTATTATCCTTTCTCCTTCCCTCTCTCATTGTCCCCGCATAATAATTATGACCAAGGGAACTTTAAGAGGCTTATGCCACTCCTCGCATACCACTAATGCTAACACAGTGATTTATATTTACACGCCGTGCATCACCAGGTTATGCTGATATCGTCTATAGAAACAAATGAGGAAGGGTGTTTCTATTGTGACAGATGCCAGCTGCATTGAGTGAATGCTACAGAAAGGAAGATATAACTAAATGTACACTTGGCTACTGCAGGGTGAAAACCATATTTCCAACATGCCAAGAAGAGTCCTTTACATCCCGTACTGGCAAAGATAATCATCTGACGAATGCAGACTTAGTTGTAGGAATAGACGTTTCCATGTAAGGGTGTGAAAACACTGAAATATGTTCTTAACGGGTCAAAGGGAGCTGGGGTCAATGAAAAGATAGAGAATCAGGCATTTCTTTGAATGATTGGCTAGTAAAAGAAGTCGCATGCATCATATCTGAATCATAATTGACTTCGCATCATTTCAGTTTAAACCTACACTGGGAATAATTACCTTTTTAAAAAATCCAGTCTAACCCTGCTTTTGGAACAGAGTGTATTTTTGTTTTATGCAATTAGTTATCCAGGAATGCAATAACTGTTATTTATTATTACAACATGATGACACCCATCTGTTTCCAGAATTTTCAAATTAAAAAAAAAATCTGAGTTGTTTTGCATTTCCCATTTTGAATGGATTTTTAGATGTGGGGAAAAATACCAGGCATTTAATTTCAAACTGATGAGTTTAATTGCTCATTCAATAGAAGTAACATAATTTCTCACATCATATTTTAAAAGAAATGTTTTATATACATGTTCTATTTTTATTTAAAAATCCTTAGAAGGACTGCTCCATTGTGATGTCTTGGGCTGTGATCCTAAACACATGCACTCATGAACATGGGCAATTAGTACTGTTCAGTGAGACTTTCCCATGAGTAATTATGTTTAGGACTGAGGCCTTGATTCTTATCTTTTCAAAAACAAAACATAACATTATCACAGAGCATGCACAGTGAGAATTTTTCCCCATTTACTATTTACATATACTGCCTAGTCTAGTCTAGCCTTTAATAGGTCACCTTAGCATGAATATGGGTTGCATTTCACAGAATTATTTCTTTCATTGTTAACAACACACATGTTTTAATAAATCAGCACACAATTCTCTTGTACAGCAGCTCACTTGACCTGCTCTTTTTTAAATCATAGTGCTTTGGTAGAAACTATCTTTAGATGAAATGTTAATAAAAGTTCCTGCTCCCAAATGATTGTTTAAAGAAAGTAATGTAATCAGTTATGAACTAGACTTTAGATATCACATTAGGTTTAAAGAGTTGCTCTTATATTAATTGTACTGAGTTACAACCAAATGCCATACAAGAGACTCATCATTTGAATCTATGGGTTGCATCCAAAGTTAATCCAATGCAAGTCCCTTTTATTTTAATTGATCTACTTTAAGTGGACCAACATTGGATACAGCTCTATGATGTATTATGTGTGGAAGGAGGTTGTGGTTGTGGCTGTGGGAAGATTAGATTGGGACTAAAGTACTGTGGAAGAAGAAAGCTTGATTCATTCTTCTCCTCTGTACTATTTTCCCTGGTAAACATCACCCTTCCAAGCTGTTAGATTGTCTGCAAGGGAAAACATTACAAAATTTTCTTTGGAGAATGGGGAACATATATGAATTTGAGAAATGGCTTAAGAAAGGGTCAGTGCACTTATAAAGTAAATGGCCCTCATCCAATCCCCCAGTTTTCTTTTATCCGAGTTCTTGATAATGTATTTCCAACATCACATTTACTTTGGCTCTTGTTAATTCACAAATTTGTCAGTGCATGCATGCAAAAAGGCACACCTTTAAAGCTTATAAATTTTGATAGACCAGCTCTTGTGTCTGGAAGAGATGCATGAGGAACAGAGGTCTGTTGGGTCAAGCTTCCATCCTAATGCTGGGAAAAACTTGTCCAAAAGCAAAGAGGTCATGCTAGAAGAAATGGTGGCACACCTATGTGCCATCAAACCTTATGCATACTGACTAGGAGGAATACGCTTCCTCTCCTAAATCCAGATTCCTCCCACTCAGTGCTTTACTTTGGCTGCCAGGTTGAAAAGATTCATGTATTTTAACTCTTCAGATGAACTAGGGAAAGGACAGCGTGATTTTTCCTGTTCATTCCCTTCTGGAACTCTACTTTCAGCCCCACCTCTTCAGCTGAACAGGACTGCAGGTAGAATGTGCAGGAGGCAGGATAAGGTGGCAGATAACAGGAGCAGTTATTTGCAGTGGTTAGCCACGTGCATCACATAGACATTGGGCTGGATCCAGGATCTGCCCTTCTTGAGAGAAAGAGCTTCTGCCACGGAAAGCTTCCTCCACCCAATTTTTGGGATCCACCCTCTCTGCCATGTCACAGCACTCCCCGTTCAGCAGGGTCTCCTAATGCACATTTTCAGAGGGCTGGAAGGGTTGGCATGGGAAACAAGGAAATCCATTTTCACCATTGCAGCTGATCCAACATAAATCTGGATCCAATCCATTGATTCCCATACCTGCTCACCACACCACACCTCAGGTAATGGGGTTGTAGGGTTCATGTACAAGGCTGAAGTCCTAGAGATATCAGGATAAGTACTGAAGCAAGAGCAGGTGAAGCTAGTCTATATTTTGTAGATGCATAATTTCCAGTGATGCAAGGAATCCTTTTAAGACAATCATTCAGGAAAGGAACTGTGCAAACAAAACTCACTGGGTTTCGGTTTTGATATAATTCATGCACAAGGCTCTAAAGGGCATGACAGAATATTAGAAAAACCGCATGCCGCCACCACTGATCCCGTAGCTCACGTGTCGGACCATATATCACAGTGGGATTTTTCTATGCTGGACAGACCAGTTTTTTCAGCAAGTACATTGACTCAAATGTCAACTGGGTAGAAGAAAAATGTCTTTAATTTATGCAAAATTGTAACAAATGGCTTGCCAGATTTTGTCAGGTTTTTTTTTAAATTTTTTGCTACAAACAGAGACATGTCAATCTCGGCTGTTCTTTTGAAATGGCTATATACCTAAATACGATGGAGAGAAATAAACAACCCATATCCATGCCAAGAGTACTTTTGATTTAAATGAGATCTATTGAACTGAATACACACTCAGCATCATATATAGCAGCCATCCATGACGGTGCGGAAAAGGCAGGCATTTGGGGGATGCCTAGCGGGATGTTTACTGGTAGATTTGGAACTTTAGGGAGATTCACATTTGGTAGATTCACATTGGGCAGATTACTTGTTAAACTCCTGTGGAAGAAACAGACAGAAAGAAAAAATACCATCACGGTGACAATGCAGATGCAGCAGAAGCACAGTGGCACTTATAAACAAATCTGCAAAGTTCACGGCAAGACAACAGTCAAAGGACTCAAACCAAAAACATTTCAGAGAGAAGCATGGACATGGAAGGCATAAGTATGGGAATTGGGCATTTTCCCCTCAGCAGTCTGCAATAACACCACCACCACCACCAACAGCAGCAACAACAACAACAACAGCAACAACACATTGCTTGAACAAAAAGAGAGCGAAGACGACAACACAAGGAGAAACATTTACAAAGTAGCAAATCAAAACATCAATACGAAGGACGTAATGTCTGGCCCTGGAGAACATTTCAAAGTGCAGAAACTAGCTCCTAGAGTACAGGAAGGATCAAGGAATTAATAGGTAAGGATATACTGACAGAACTACACTAGCAGTACAATCTTGTGAATGTTTATTCAGAAGAAAATTCCAGTGAGCTCAAAAGGTGAATTCAGAATTGCTGCCTAAAAGACCTAATGGGATTCCTTCCCCTCTTCCAAATAGCAGGTTTGGCCACTGAATGCAAAATCAGAACTTCCTTTCTCCAAATAATTATTCTGTTCTGGGCTCAGGGAATAGCATTTATTCCTGCTGAGTCTCAGTTACCAAAATAAGTCCCTGTTCACACAATCTGTATTTAGGCAGATCCCTACACTGCATGATCTTATACGGATATTTTAATGAACTTCCATGCTTGTATAGGCTTTCCCGTTTACTTCAGCTGAGCGGGATGGACACATAGCTTCCTTTTCTATGCAAGTGAAAGAGGAATCCTTACATGCACAAGTTATTATGGGCATTTATCTCTAGAAGCATGCAACTGTTAAGGGAGTCCCCTGAATACTTCTGAAAACAAAATTTGAGGGTACTTTTTGGTTCTACTCACACTACAGATACATTAAACCTTTCTAGATGTTATGCTCAGAGGCCTCCTTGCCTGCAGTAAACTATGTTGGAGAAATGTGTGAAGCATCAGAATGCACAAGAATGTGGCCCTGAAAAGGATGTTTCTGAAACTTTGTAGAGGCAGGTGTAACATCACAGATGCCTCCATCTGCAGTTAGAAATACTCCAGCCCAGAGAAAAGTCGATCAGTAAGAACAAGGCCCTGTAGTTTTTAGTTGCTTCTCTGAAATATAATTTGACTGACTCTCTCTACTGAATATGTTACAATTTCATAAAATGCATGTTCTAGATAAAATTCACACTGCGGGCCAGTGCAGATGTTAATTTGATGAAGCAGGTATGACCAGAAAACAATGACTTCATAAAAGAAAGCTGATCATCTTGCTATATACAAGGGCTCTCTTTGAGGAATTTTACTATGCTAACAGGAAACAAACATTTTAAAGACATAAACAATGTTCACTAAGGACAGCTGGTTATAGCAGACATATTCAAGGGATGACAGTAAAAAATATTCTCATATCAGCCATTTTTATAAGAAGCAAAATGTTTTAAGTACCATCTGCCTGGTTTGAGAGAATCAACATTCCTATCTAACCAACTGTATATATATCCCATACAATATAAGGTTATTTCAGAAATTACTTGCAGTTCCATTCTGAAAGCAAATCTCAATGCCCTTTCAATCTTAGAATTATACATCAAACTATTAATATGTACTTAAGCATTTTATCATTATGCCAGAGTGGTCAATATTTTGTAAGCTCGATTTCTTTTCTTTATTAGCAGCATTTTCTTGACCCCATATCAAATTTAATTGACACTTGAGAAATATTACATTGTCTGCATTTGAGTTTTGCCTGAAATGGGACACAAGCAGGAGAGGTAACAATGGCTTGGAAGGCAAAGAAGTGAGATCCCTGTGCAAAGCAGAAATGTGTGTTCAGTTGCTGCACTGGATGAAAAACTTGCTTGCCTGTGATTTTGCCCTGGATATGTCTCTTGAGTCTTTGGATCCCAGCCATTATATTTGCACCTAGACTCTGACAGCCCTGCTCAGAGTCTGACCAGCTATCAATTTTTTTAAAAATGCTGTTCCAAGCCACTCTCCAGGAGTAGATTTCTACAGCTGTCTTCCTATTTCCTCAATGCAAATCTTAGATCATATTTTCTAGTCATTCCAGATGAAAAACATTTGATTAACACCAGTGGATATCTCTCTGCTTCAGGTATAAAGAGTGGCTTAATAAGATTTAGCATATTCTTGTGATATCTCCCAATCTTTTCAGGCTACAGGAGAAGACACTGCTGAAGATGAAGACCACATTTACTCAGAAATAACCTCTCCTGTGTTCGGTGGGGCTAATACCTACAATCCTAAATACTGGTCCATGAGAGTAAGTTCCACTAACATTAATACTACTTTTGAGTAGAAATGCATTGGATTATCCTGTAAGGGTTATTATTGTTGCCATTATCCTCATATTCAGTTCCTTCGCTAGAAGATATGGTCTTGCCACCATCCTCCAAAAAAGAGGAGGAAACTCCACAGTACCTCCATCAACTCAGGCTTGCAGACTTTAACAGCCCAACCAGCTTCTCCAGAGTTGACCACACCACAGACTGTGGCTGCCTACGTAAGGCGTCAGATGACTTTACCTGGCTTCTACAATGACATCATCCTATGGTTCTAATAGGAAATCGTTCTAATAAGGAAGAACATGAGGGAAACATACTGGAGCAGAGCAAGGGCACATCTAGCCCAGCCATCTGTGCACCGAGAAGTCCACCAGCCACAGAACCCTACAAGCTGGGCATGAGGGCCACTGCACCCTCCCGAGTCTCCCAGCAACTGGTGCATATTTCATCTGATACCCGAGGTACCACACAGCCATGAGGACCAGTTGCCAGGAAGCTGTCAAATCCCCTTTTGAAGCCATCCGAATGAGTGGCCACCACTACATGGCTTTCAAAATGAATTCCATCATGTAGCGATGTACCGTGTGAAGAAATACTTCCTATTCTGTCTTGAATCTCTGACCAATCAGCTTCATGGGATGACTCCATTTTATAGTATCAGGAGAACAATGTCTCCTCATCCACTCTTTCCACACCTTGTGCAATTTTGTACACCTCGTCTACCTACCTTATTCACTTAAGACATTCTGGCTGTTGTAACCTTTCCTCTTGGGAGAATTGGTCCAGCCCCTTGATCACCTTCCTTGCCATTTTTTTCCAACTCTACAATATCCTTTTTTTTTTTTTTTTTTTTTAGGTGGAGGGACCACAACGCTACATAGTATTTTAAATTTGCTCATGCCATAGATTTGGGTAAGGGCAAAATGATATTGGCAGTTTTATTTTCAATTCATTTCCTGATTATGCCTAATATGGCATTTGCTTTTTCACAGCAGCTGCACACTGGGCTATCCCCTCGAATTTCAAGATCTCTTTCTTGGTCACTTAGCGCTACCACATATCCTATCAGCTTTTATTTGAAGTTGGTGATTTTCCCCAAAGTGCATCACTTTACACTTGGCTACCCTGAATCTGACATCTTGCACTTGCCATTTTGATGCCATACTCCCAGTTCAGAGGGATCTTTTTGCAGCTTCTCTCGATTCCTTTTTTGCTTTAACCACCCTAATTACTTTGGTGTCATAAGCATATTTGGCTACTACACTGCACACTCCTAATTCCAGATCATTTATGAATAGCTTGAAATCATTGGTGCTGATACAAATCCCTGTGGGGGACCATTTTTTACATCCTTCCACTGGGAGAATTTACTATTTCTGCTCTTATCCCATGACTGCTATATCTGGTCAGGTGTCTTTGGTGAAGGACTTGGTGAGAAGCTTTTGGAAGTTCAAGGAAACAAGGTGTCCTTGAATACACCTGCCCAGGTGTTTATTGACACTCTCAATGAACTCTAAAAGGTTAGTGAGGCACGACTTACCTTTGTGGATGCAGTGTTGTTTCTTTCTCAGCAGGCCTTGTCCTTCTATATGCTTTCAGTCAATTTACCCAGAACAGACATTTAGCTAACCAGCCTGTAATTTCCCAGATTCCCCTTGGAGCCTTTTTTTTAAAAAAACTGGACATTGTCCAGTCTTCTGATACAAATGTTGATCTCAGCAACACATTACATATTTTTCTTAAAAGATCAGCAATTTATTATTTGACTTCTTTAAGAGCTCTAGGATGGATACCATCTGGATCCAGTGATCATTAACTTCCCATTTTTTTCAATAAGGTTGAGAACTTCTTTCATTACAACTATTTGTCTTAGTTCCTCAGACTCCCTTCCGGCAAATACCAGGATCTGTCATATATCTTCTGCAGTGATACGTATCACTTCAAAATAACAACAAAATAATTCATTTGGCTTCTCTGCAGTCTCTCTATCCTCCTTTCATACTCCTTTATCTTCATTCATTATCATCCAATGGTCTGCCTTTCTAGCTCATTTCCTGCTTTTAATATATTTTAAGAATTCTTCATAGTTGGCTTTTATGTTGTTGGTATCATTCACCTCAAAATGCTTTTTTGCATCTCTTATTGTCTGCTTGGCACGAGGGGCTGTTGCTGGGACAGCTGAATGCCTTTGTGAGCATACAGCAAAATGCATACAATGATTTGGACCCCAGATCCTGTGCAGAATTTGGTGCGCCTCAGCCCACTGAAGCCTATGAGCAAAACTCAACTACAGTGCTGGCAATTTGCTGCCCAATCATAATGCTCAAATTCTGCTACCTGAAATTGTTCAGGTCACTTTGCCTCATGGCAGGACCAGCCTTGTGACCCTTTCTGTGATCCTTGGAACCTGCCTGAACATCAAGGGCCTCTGAGTGCTTCTGCTGAATTGTCCTTAGGGACAGGGAAAATTGTCCACAGTTCAATGTGAACCAAATTAATTTGTACTTCTCATGCAAATGCATGAGCTGAAACAATCTTAAGTCTTTTGTATTCACACTTTTCTGAATTTTGTGATGGAGAATTCTAACAAAAATGTACATAATTGGGAAATGTGC